GTGGTCAACATACCAAGACTACCGGCCGTCGTGGTAGAACTGTTGGTGTGTCCAAGAAGAAGTAAAATGTTACTTTATATAATTTAATAAATAATGAAATCAATGTTTTTCTAAAACTTGTTTGGTGTTTTCCTTGCTTTTTATCCTCTTTTATTAAATTTTTATTTTTTATCGGATTCGTTTAGTTTGGTGTATGTTGGGTTGCTTAGAACTTAATCGATCTCGAATTTTTTATTTGAAATTCGGAATTCTTGATGAAATATTGCAGGTTGAAATGTTTATAGGAATCAATTGATAAATATAATTATATTAAGCCTTCGATATGAAAACAAACGACTTAAAGTATTATTTTGTGGCAGAATAGTAGTTGAGTCGAACGTGTGTTTAGTTGCGTTTTCTTTCCCTTAACTTAACCTAAAAAAGACGGAATCTGTGCTCTATAGTGTGGTGTTTATCTTGAATTTCCTCATTTCCTATACGCTTTAGAATCATTTTTAGGTAGTAATTGTCAAATAAACCCATAAGTCATGCCTTTCATGATAGGAAAAGCGCCTATCAGGCGTACCATCAAATATTTAGAGGCTGGTAAACTTGTGCTTAAAGATCAGATCAAAATATTCACAGTTAACTACAATACTCATGGAGATCACCATCAAGGTGCAAGGTAAATGTTCCCAAACATTACTGATACTATTTGAATAATATTCTTATTAATATTCTGCCTCTCATCTGTTGTTTTTATAGGGATTTTGTTTTCTGGCATTTACCACAATTACAATACAAAAACCCACATCTACAAATTTGCACATTGAAGAACATGACACCATCTCCGTTCATCAAATGTTTCTATGGTCTGTATAACATATTGGAAATTCAAAACTCTTTTGAAATAAAATTTTTACTTTTACAGAAAGTGGACAAAGAATGTTAATAGATATTGACAGTAAATCAAAAGATGAAATCCAGGATCATCTTGAGAAAGTGATTGGTAAAACCAAGTAAGTTTTTAATTAGTTATTATTAGAAATAAATAAGCTTTAATTGAAACAAAATTTGCTGCTGTTGAATTATAACAAAGGCAACCCAACATACACTCAACTTTTGTATTCTTCCAGGGAAGTTCTGCAAGCTGAAGCAATTGTAAAGAAAAGAAAGACAATCCCGCGAATTTCGGCGCGATGTGCGATCGTCACTGTATTTGCGAGATTTTAGGACAAATTCCATGTCCTGGAACCTGTCCACTTCCGTTTGAAATGCGTGGAAAGTATAAATACGCCAAAGAGGATTAGAACCAATCAATTGTTTAGTCATAATTTTCAAACAAATTAAAATAATTTACATTTAAATCTAACTTCATGACTTCAACAACATTGAATAAGATTCCTAGTCTTAGATAAAC